CACACACACACACACACACACACACACACACACACTCTCTGTGTATATATTTTTCTCTATATATAAAAAAACAACCTCTCGCGCGCACAGTATGTATTTATTTTTTTTTGTGGGGGGAGCGACTCTCTCTCTCTCTCTCTCTATATACGCACACACACGCGCGCGCGCGGTGTGTCTGTCTCTCCCCACGAGATATATATTTTAGATATGTGTGTGTGAGAGTGAGAGAGAGATTTACCAAAAAGAGAGTGTGTGTGGTGTATACCCCCCGCACTCACACAAACAATATATATATATATACACATTGTTTTTCTCTATCTAAAAAAAAGTGTATGTGTGTGTGTGTGTGTGTGTGTGTGTGTGTGTGTGTGTGTGTGTGTGTCACACACACACACACACACACACACACACACACCCCAATATAAACTGGTTTTGTTTGGAAAGAAGATTATTTCCTTACCCCATTGGCAGACTGTTTTGCTAGAAAATGCTGCTTGGTTTAAGACTTTTTAGATATTTGGACTAGAATGCCATCTTTTGCAGTGTATGGAGTGTGTGTGTGTGTGCGTGTGTGTGTGTGTGTGTGTGTGTGTGTGTGTGTGTGTGTGTGTGTGTGTGTGACCTGCTGGACTCCAGAGAAGAGCTGAGAGAGGCAGAATCAGCCGGGAACTCTGAATAAACGCTCCTGGTTTGAGTTCTGATGGAGAAAAAACAGATATTCAGCATCAACACTGTCTGACACCGAATAAGAACATGTGAATAATGTATTTCCTCTCCCTCTAGAGCCCAGCACTGACTGCTTTTTGAGATTATTTCTTTGAATCAATCTGTACTTTAAAGTCTGCTGTAGAAATAAAGTTGACTGATGATTTGTGCCGTATTATAGTGTATAATATCAGTCTGGGATATAACTGTGATGAATCTGAAGCTACTGGAGCATAAATGCAAATCTAACGGACAACAATACTGAATCTGATAGTGGATGAATCTGAATCTGATGGTGAATCGATCTGAATCTGATAATGAATGAGTCTTAATCTGATAGTGAATGAATCTGAATCTGATGGTGAACGAATCTAAATTTGATAGTAAATCGATCTGAATCTGATAGTGAATGAATCTGAATCTGATAGTGAACCAATCTGAATCTTATGGTAAACGAATCTGAATCTGTTAGTGAATGAATCTGAACGTAAACCAATCTAAATCTGATAGTGAACAAATCTGAATCTGAAGGCAAGTAATCTGAAGGTAAATTAATCTGAATTCGATGGTGAACCAATCTGAATCTAACGGTGAACCAATTTTAATCTAACATTGACCCAATCTAAATCTGATAGCGTACGAATCTGAATCTGATAGTGAACCAATCTGAATCTGAAGGTGAACTAATCTGAATCTGATAGTGAAATAATCTGCATCTAATAGTGAATGAATCTGAAGGTAAACGAATCTAAATCTGATATTGAACGAATCTGAATCTGATAGTGAATGAATCTGAATCTGATAGTGAACCAATCTGAATCTGATAGTGAACCAATCTGAATCCTATGGTGAATGAATCTAAAGGTAAATGAATCTGAGTTTGATGATGAACCAATTTGAATCTGATGGTGAACTGATCTGAATCTGAATCTAATGAAGGGCCAATCTGAATCTGATGATGTATTTATGTAGTATTATAGTGTCAGTGATCTTACTGTGATCGGACAGGTTGCGAGTACACACTTCCAGACAGCAGCGAATCAGAGAGCTCATCCAGTGGAGCACTAGCAGAAACACATCAGACGTGAGCGAGTGAAGATCAGGAGTGTGTTCAGTAAAGTACAGGTGAGCAGCGTTACCTGTCGCTCCGGTAGCTGTAGCGTGTGTTCACAGTCACGGCTGATGGAGATGAGCGTGTGGGAGAATAACTCACATCACTGCATATGAAGCAACACAGATTCATTAGCATGTTCAGGGTAGCAAGAAATACATATTTAAAACTAAAACTTAAATAAAAATACAAAGCACATAAAAACCATAAGAAATTAATTATATTTGAAGAGGACTGAAGATCTCTTGCTACTCTCCCTTCATTACATTAGACTGAATCTTGTACCTGGTCTTCAGGCTCACTGAGGGCTTGTCTGCAGGTTTGGCAGGAGTCCAGTCCTCCAGAACTGATGATTTAGTGTTAGTGATGCTCGTCCTGTTTGACAGACAGAGGAATCAGACATCATGACGTAACACTCAGGAGAAGGTCAGTGTGGAGACACTTACTGCGCAGAGGATGATGAGGAAGTGGACACACGTGGAGAGACAGACACACTTTCACTCCTGAGAACAGAAGACAACAACAGGAGTCAGTGAGATGGAGATTCAGCATATCTGCTCATATGGAGAACAATCTGAGTCAACTGGACTGAATATAATAGAGGATGAATCTGAATCTGAAGGAGGATGAATCTGAATATAATAGAGGATGAATCTGAATATAATAGAGGATGAATCTGAATATAATAGAGGATGAATCTGAATCGAACAGAGGATGAATCTGAATATAATAGAGGATGAATCTGAATCAGATGCAGGATGAATCTGAATCTAATAGAGGATGAATCTGAATCAGATGCAGGATGAATCTGAATCTAATAGAGGATGAATCTGAATCTAATAGAGGATGAATCTGAATATAATAGAGGATGAATCTGAATATAATAGAGGATGAATCTGAATCTAATAGAGGATGAATCTGAATCAGATGCAGGATGAATCTGAATCTAATAGAGGATGAATCTGAATCTAATAGAGGATGAATCTGAATATAATAGAGGATGAATCTGAATCTAATAGAGGATGAATCTGAATCAGATGCAGGATGAATCTGAATCTAATAGAGGATGAATCTGAATCTAATAGAGGATGAATCTGAATCAGATGCAGGATGAATCTGAATCTAATAGAGGATGAATCTGAATTAGATGCAGGCTGAATCTGAATCGAACAGAGGATGAATCTGAATATAATAGAGGATGAATCTGAATTAGATGCAGGATGAATCTGAATCGAACAGAGGATGAATCTGAATATAATAGAGGATGAATTTGAATATAATAGAGGATGAATCTGAATCAGATGCAGGATGAATCTGAATCTAATAGAGGATGAATCTGAATCAGATGCAGGATGAATCTGAATCGAACAGAGGATGAATCTGAATATAATAGAGGATGAATTTGAATATAATAGAGGATGAATCTGAATCAGATGCAGGATGAATCTGAATCTAATAGAGGATGAATCTGAATTAGATGCAGGCTGAATCTGAATCGAACAGAGGATGAATCTGAATATAATAGAGGATGAATCTGAATATAATAGAGGATGAATCTGAATATAATAGAGGATGAATCTGAATCAGATGCAGGATGAATCTGAATCTAATAGAGGATGAATCTGAATCAGATGCAGGATGAATCTGAATCTAATAGAGGATGAATCTGAATCAGATGCAGGATGAATCTGAATCTAATAGAGGATGAATCTGAATTAGATGCAGGCTGAATCTGAATCGAACAAAGGATGAATCTGAATCTAATGGAGGATGGATCTGAATCTAACAGAGGATGAATCTGAATCAGATGCAGAATGAATCTGAATCTAATAGAGGATAAATCTGAATCTAATAGAGGATTAATCTGAATATAATAGAGGATGAATCTGAATCTAATAGAGAATGAATCTGAATCAGATGCAGGATGAATCTGAATCTAATAGAGGATGAATCTGAATATAATAGAGGATGAATCTGAATCTAATAGAGGATGAATCTGAATCAGATGCAGGATGAATCTGAATCTAATAGAGGATGAATCTGAATCTAATAGAGGATGAATCTGAATCAGATGCAGGATGAATCTGAATCTAATAGAGGATGAATCTGAATTAGATGCAGGCTGAATCTGAATCGAACAGAGGATGAATCTGAATATAATAGAGGATGAATCTGAATTAGATGCAGGATGAATCTGAATCGAACAGAGGATGAATCTGAATATAATAGAGGATGAATTTGAATATAATAGAGGATGAATCTGAATCAGATGCAGGATGAATCTGAATCTAGTAGAGGATGAATCTGAATCAGATGCAGGATGAATCTGAATCTAATAGAGGATGAATCTGAATTAGATGCAGGCTGAATCTGAATCGAACAGAGGATGAATCTGAATATAATAGAGGATGAATCTGAATATAATAGAGGATGAATCTGAATATAATAGAGGATGAATCTGAATCAGATGCAGGATGAATCTGAATCTAATAGAGGATGAATCTGAATCAGATGCAGGATGAATCTGAATCTAATAGAGGATGAATCTGAATCAGATGCAGGATGAATCTGAATCTAATAGAGGATGAATCTGAATTAGATGCAGGCTGAATCTGAATCGAACAGAGGATGAATCTGAATCTAATGGAGGATGGATCTGAATCTAACAGAGGATGAATCTGAATCAGATGCAGAATGAATCTGAATCTAATAGAGGATAAATCTGAATCTAATAGAGGATTAATCTAAATCAGATGCAGGATGAATCTGAATCTAAGAGGATAATTCTGATGGAGGATGAATTGGAATCTGATGGAGCATAAATCTAAATTTGATGTTGGAAGAATCTGAATCTGATAAAGGGTAAATCTAAATCTAAGAGGATGAATCTGATGGAGGATGAATCTGAGTCTGATGTTGGATGAATTGAATCTAATAGAGGATGAATCTAAATCTGATGGAGGATAATCTGAATTTACTAGAGAATGAATCTGGTGGACAATTATTATGAATCTAATGAAGGGCCAATCTGAATCTGATGATGATGTATTTATGTAGTATTATAGTGTCAGTAATCTTACTGTGATCGGACAGGTTGCGAGTACACACTTCCAGACAGCAGCGAATCAGAGAGCTCATCCAGTGGAGCACTAGCAGAAACACATCAGACGTGAGCGAGAGAAGATCAGGAGTGTGTTCAGTAAAGTACAGGTGAGCAGTGTTACCTGTCGCTCCGGTAGCTGTAGCGTGTGTTCACAGTCACGGCTGATGGAGATGAGCGTGTGGGAGAATAACTCACATCACTGCATATGAAGCAACACAGATTCATTAGCAGCCATATCTAAGAGATTATTGCTTTGCATTAGACTGAATCTTGTACCTGGTCTTCAGGCTCACTGAGGGCTTGTCTGCAGGTTTGGCAGGAGTCCAGTCCTCCAGAACTGATGTTTTAGTGTTAGTGATGCTCGTCCTGTTTGACAGACAGAGGAATCAGACATGATGACGTAACACTCAGGTTAATGTCAGTGTGAAAAATACTGGAAACTGAATCTGAATCAGACGGACAATGAATCTGAATCTGATATCTGACAAATCAGATTAATATAAATTTTATGACAGATTAAAATTAGTCTGATCAAAGACAAATCTGAATCTCATGGTAGATTGATATAAATCTAATAGTGGATAAATCTGAATCTGATGGTGTATGAATTTGAATCTGATATTGGATGAATCTGTTGGTGGATGAATCTGAATCTGATGTAGGATGAATCTGAATCTGATGGTGTATGAATCTGAATCTGATATTGGATGAATCTGATGGTGGATGAATCTGAATCTGATGTAGGATGAATCTGAATCTGATCTAGGATGAATCTGAATCTGATGTAGGATGAATCTGAATCTGATATAGGATGAATCTGAATCTGATGTTGGATGAATCTGATGGTGTATAAGTCTGATGTTTGACGAATCTGAATCTGATATTGGATGAATCTTAATTTGATAGTGGATGAATCTGATGTTAAATTAATCTGATGGTGAATGACTCTGAATCTGATGGCGTATGAATCTGAATCTGATATTAGATGAATCTGATGTTGGATGAATCTGAATCTGATGTTGGATGAATCTGAATCTAATATTGGATGAATCTGATGGTGTATAAGTCTGATGTTTGACGAATTTGAATCTGATTGTGGATGAATCTTAATTTGATGGTGGATGAATCTGATGTTAAATGAATCTGGTGTTGGATGAATCTGAATCTGATATTGGATGAATCTAAATCTTAAGGTGAATGACTCTAAATCTGATATTGGATAAATCTGAATCTGATGTTGGATAAATCTGAATCTGATGTAGGATGAATCTTACCTGCTCTGGGTATTCACTGTCTGATTTACAGGAGTCGTGACAACAGAACTCTTCACACTGCTGCAAAATCAATAAAAACATATTCATCAGATGCGGATCTAAATCTGATGTTAGATTAATCTGATGATGGACTAATCTGAATCTAATAATGGATTAATTTAAATCTGATAATGGATGAATCTGAATCTGATGTAGGATGATTCTCACCTGCTCTGGGTATTCACTGTCTGATTTACAGGAGTCATGACAGCAGAACTCTTCACACTGCTGCAAAATCAATAACCACACATTCATCACATGAGAAACACGAGATGTGTCAAGATCAGGATGCATCTTACCTTGAAGTGGAAGTGGCTGGCTGATGAAGATGAGGATGATGATGAAGATGAAGATGAGATGCTGTTTACAAAAACACAGACAGACACAGATAACATTACACACTCCAGCTTTCATTTGACCAAGCGTCTAAATCTCAGCTGTCATGTAAAATCTTCCAGTAAACGTCTGATCTAAAGCGGAGTTATTGACAGACTCACCCATTGGTAGATGGAGACGCTGCAGTGACCTCAGGAAACTTCTCACCAAATGACGATTTAACAGGACTCAATCTGTCAAACAGGGCCAGTTAAACCAGTACAAACACTGATGGTTGACTAATACTGGTGTGTGTGTGTGTGTGTTTAAAGCTCTAGTTCTGGTTCACTCACGTTTTGCTGTTGGAGTTTGCTGAGAAGACTTTGGCAGTGAAGCTGGACTGAGCATTTGGTGACATGTTGAGCGCTGGTTTCCTGGAAGACAGACAGACAGACAGACACACACACACACACGTTTATCAGACTGATGTGCATCTGAAGTGTTAGTACACTAAAGAGAGCGGATCTCACTTGGCAGGGACGGGCGGTTTGGTGGGCGATGGTGGAACGGTCACTGCGCTCTTAGTGCTGGATGTGTTTGTGCTGCGACACACAGATTCAGGGTCAGTGGACAGACAATCTGCTGGAAGGCAGCTCTCCAGGAACAGGGTTGGTGACCCCTGATACAGAGTCTAGAACCGCAGGACATTAAGCATCTCCAAGCAGGAGCGCAGCTGAAGAGGGAAAGCACTCATTACACTGGCATCCTCAAAAGCAGAAGGGTCTGATCCTCAGCTATATCACGCTTTACATTACATCACATTAGACTCTATGATCTCTCCTGATAACAGAAGGATGTTCCTCCAGTTGAAGAAAGCGAATGTAAAATGCTTGAAATGTTTCCGCTATTGTGGAGTAACCATGCAGCAGTGTGAACCCACCCGCCCTTACTGAGCAGCTCCTGACTGCCACTGAACCTGCAGGAGAGAGAGAGAGAGAGAGACTTTACCATGTACTCGGAGAGGACGAATTGACATCTAGACTAGCTGCAATATATGTATACAGCCTCCACACCATAAGAAATGGTTAATGTAAATTTGTGTATCTTATTTAAATAATTTAAACTTTTTATTATTATTATTATTATATTTATCAAATGTATTGTTTTTTGTGTGTGTGTCATTATATCTTATCTGTATTACTATTAATTTTTCAATGGTTATATTATATTTCATATTTGAAGTGCTTTGGCAATTCTGTACTTAATGTCATGCCAATAAAGCAACTTGAACTTGAACTTGAGAGAGAGAGAGAGAGAGAGATTTACATTTCTTTTCTTTATTTCTATATTATATTTTATGTTCATATTTGTTTGCACTACAGCCCTTTTTGCACTGTCTTGTCTGTACGCAGCGACGCTGCACTGCTTTGGCAATACGAATGTACAGCTATTTGTCATGCCAATAAAGCACCTAAAATGTGAGAGAGAGAGAGAGAGAGAAAGAGAGAGAGAGCACAACACACAGATACAGCAGTCTCCCTTCCTCTTTTAGATCAAGAGAGTTATTTAGTCTTTTCGGGGCTCGTTTATTTTCTCTTTTGGAAATAACTTGTGAATGTTATTAATATCGCTCAAATTTAAACGGTTATTAATTATTAATATGTGCAGTAAATTGTTTGTACTTTTGGTGAGATGTTTTTGTTTGTTTAGGCTTCAGATTGTGGGAAGTGTTTCAGGTGACGTCTGCTGCTGGTTTGTTTGTTTGTTTGTTTGTTTGTTTGTTTGTTTGTTATGATGTGAAGTGCTCTGTTTGATCTGTGAACTTCTCAGGGAGGCCCTTGAAAATGAGAGGATACATCTCAAGGGGCTATCCCATTCAATAAATAAATTCACAGTCCAGCTCCAGACACACACTGATCTTACACATGTACACTGGTATGATCAGGTCTACAGTTCGGTGTTTAATGCACCTCTTGCTCAAGGAGCTGAAGGACGTCCCAGAATTCCCGGCGGTCTGATCTGCCGACACTGATTGGCTGAAGTCAGACAGGAGATGATGATTATATATTAACATGCAGAGCAGCTGATGATGATGATGATGATGATGATGATGATGATGAAGATGAAGAGACTCTCACCTGTCCACTTCTGCAGGCTTCACCTGACCCAGGACCACTCTGCCAAAGTTTGGGTCATCGCTACAACAACAACAACACTGAGTCACGAGTGTGTGTGTGTGTGTCTGTGAAGGTGTGTCAAATGTGTATGTGTGCGTGAGAGAGAAAGAGATAGTGTGTGTGTGTGTGTGTGTGTTCGTGTATGTGAGAATGTTTGTGAGCGTGTGTCTGCGAGTGTGTTAGTGTATGTGTCTCAGTGTGTCTGCTGGAGTGTGTCAGATCGTGTGTGTGCAGTGTGTAATAGAGCGTGTAGTTGTAGAGTGTCTGTGAATGTGTGTGTGTGAGAGAGAGAGACAGAAAGAGAGCGCGAGAGTGTCTATGAGTGTGTTAGTGTATGTGAGAATGTGTGTGTGTCTGTGTGTGTGTCTCTTAGAGTGTTAAAATGTGTATGTTTGTGCGAGAGAGTGTGTGTCTGTTGGAGTGTGTTAGAATGTGTGTGTGTGTCTGTGAAGGTGTGTAATGTGTATGTATGTGTGTTTTTTGAATGTGTATGTATGTGTGTAAAATTGAGTGTGTTAAAACGTGTATGTGTGTGAGAGAGAGTGTGCGTCTGTGTGTATGTGTCTGTTGGAATGTGTTAGAAAATTTGTGTGCCTGTGATTGTGTTTTGTGTCTGTGAAAGTGTGTTAGATTGTGTATGTGTGTGTGTGTGTGAGAGAGAGAAAGAGGATGTGTGTGTCTGTGGAAGTGTATGTGTCTTAAAGTGTGTTAGAATGTGTATATGTGTGTGAGAGAGAGTGTCTGTTGGAGTGAATTAGAATGTGTGTGTGAGTGTGTCTGCGGCTGTGCAAGTATATATGTGTGTATCTTAGGGTGTGTTAGAATGTGTGTATGTGCGAGTGTGTATGTGTCTGTTAGAGTGTGTTAGAACGTGTGTTTGTCTGTGAAAGTGTGTTAGATCGTGTATGTGTGTGAGTGTGTATATGTGTCTTAGAGTGTTTGATGGTGAGTGTGAGTGTG